AAAGTTGTTACATGGACAGATTTTCCTCCCAGGGTATAATTCATTTAACTTTTTTGCTTTCTAGTAATAGAGACATTATAAAGACATGGGGCGTATTCATAGTCAAAATAAAGTTGGTTGCCGTTTTTGATATTGAATATCTGTCAATTAAGCTAAACTTTACAATCGACTCTGTTTCAACTATTAACGCGCCCTCTTTTCTGTAAACAAAGTGTGAAACTATACTGCCACATTAGTTCTTATCAGCTTTCAAAGTTATTGTATAAAATGAGGGTTAGGAGGGTTATTCGTTAAGTTACGGAAAACCTTAAAAGACAACCGTAAAAAGGTTTCTGAATTTAAGGAAGATAACGGGATTACAAAAAAACTTTAATTTAAATCAAGGAATGAAACCGATTCAAAGTAACGTTCCGGTTTCAGTTTCGGTTTTGGTTTCGTTCCTCAAAATATGTTTCGGTTTCGGTTTTGGAATAAAAAAATGAAAACAAGTTTGACAAAACATTATTATTTATTAAATAAATATGTACCTTCCAAGGATTGTTTTTGGAGAAATTAAATATACTTACTTTTCCATACTGATTACAACTTAACGATAATTTTAGCAAAATATTGCTGATTTTGGTTAAATAAATCATTTATTTCAAAGAAATTTTTAATTATAATTTTTATAAATTTCTGGAAACCGATTGAAACCTGTGCTTGAAACGATTTCGGTTTCATTCCTTTTCAGGTCAAGATAACGGCTATGGTTTCGGTTTCGGTTTTGAAAAACTTAACGGTTTAAAACGGTTTCGGTTTCATTCCTTGAGTTAAGTATTCTAATAACAAAATAGAGTCTTAACACTTCAAATGATTAGACTAGAGGAAATATGAAGATTTAGAGCCATTTTACCAAGTAGATTTTATAGCACAGGCCCCCCTTCCAATAATTATGTTTTTTTTTTTTTAATATCTGGGTATGTTATATTAAAATACATCTATGACCTTTTTTTAGGACATCGAGATTTTTTTATTGGTGAATTGTATATTCAAGAATTTTTACCGATTTGCATGAAAAGCCAAAATTTTATTAATGTATAATTGAATTTTTGTTTAGAAAACTAACAATATTAGTTAAAAATACCCTCAAGTGACAAAGTAAATCAGAAAAACTTATGTAATTTCGAAGTTAATGCTAGTAAAGCGCGTTAACGCTAAGAAAATTGATATAAGTTATGTTCTCGAAAAATTTACGTGATGGAATTTGTTTATAATTTTTTTGGTAGCGTAGTACTAAATACCTACCCAAGTCCTTAATTAGGCTTTTAACGTGAAAACCACACAGGCCGAAGAAAATAAGCAAGAAAAGATCCATTTTAAGCGCTTAAATAAGCACTAAAACATTGGTAAATATGCTTGCAAATATGCTCGCAAAACAACCAAATTTAGTCAGTTTAATGTTTTTTATTCGGTTTATTTCAAGGATTGAAAAATTACCGTGGACAATCAAGTGTTGCTTGATATTCTCAAATAATAAAGATCTCCTCTGGTCGTTTTAAGTTTTTTTAAATATTCGTTATTCTTCATTTGAGATAAATTGTTCTCAATAGCACCAGTGCCTTCCCGTAAAAACAAACCATTGGTTTAAAATGTTTGTACCCAACAGAAATGGAATTGAAGTTAAGGGTTAATAAAAACCAAATCTGTTTTATGTTATTATTTGTAAATATTTCGACGAATGAAAAAACGCCAAAGAAATGGTCAAAAAATATTTATTGAACCAAATTTTCTTAATCAGTACAAAGTTGTTAAGAAATTTGCTACGCTTTCTACTATGGTTTGCTAAAGTTTGTTTGTGAAGTGCACAAGGTACTCTTGTTTTCAACAGAAATACATATATGCCCGTTCCATTTTTTCGGAACGAAAAAGTGAGACAACAGGCTGTAAAATATCAGATGTCAAAACTCCTTGGACACTACTATGCACATACACGAAATAATAGCAATTTATTTCTTGATCGTTTTCTGAAAAGTTCCGTACTTAGAGCTTTATACATTGAAATAAGCAAAATAAGCATGATCATTAAAATTAGGGGAACTTCGGGTATTGTGGAATAGCTATTTGTTTTTTGAGATCTGTAACAAATGTACAAGCTTTATTGTAACCATTATTTATATTCGAGAACAGCGAAACTTTAGTTATAAAATATTTTTCAATGAAATACAGTATGTATATTCAAAAAAACAAAGTTATTGAAAAAATTTAAAAGAATTCAAAAAATACCTCTTCAAAAATTGGAACCACATTACGATAAAGCAGCTGTGATCATGTTGTCTTGGGTCCATTTTCGGATTCCCCCTATTTTTGGCATCTAGAATAAAAGTCGTGTTCAAGTAATTAAAAATTTATTTATGGGGTGTAATGTGGTATTGTAGTACCTTAAGCGGCCTCTTGTTTACCACATTGGCCGATTTTCAAAATTTCCAAACAAACTCATACAAAATCTGCAAAAACATTAATTTTCTATTATCCGAGCCTTGATAAACGAAATACAAAACTTACTTTTTGCAATATTAACAGAGTTTTCTTTCTAAATCAATTTATTTTTTATACAAATAAAGTTACAAAAACTTTAAAATTTTGGATCACATGTTTTGTGCGACTTAAAGAATACCAACTGGTTTTACTTCATATCTGTATTATAACCCCGCTTTTTTTTAAGTCAATATATGTTAAGGTAATATCAGATGTAGACTTGCCAGAATTAAAGATAGCGGCTATACCAAATTACACTCCTTTACCACAATACCCGAAGTTCCCCTAAGCTTGGAAACTCTGAATAAGCAATTCCAAGCAAAAGCTTAAACTTTTCGGCCCTGGTAATGAGAGAGACCCGATGGTATGCTTATCTTGGAATTTTTAACCATTTTCACGAAAAAACAAAAATTAATTGATTTAAAACTAAATTTTTATCAGAAACCCCAGCACTATTAGATAAAAATTCACCTAAAAGGACTGAATAAGACCATCCAGACTTAAATATATAATTAGAGAGTTAAGTAGCTCAGAGTTAAATTGTTTTATTCCTAAACCAGACAATGTCTTGCAGCATTTAAAACTGGCCCAGAGTTAAGTAACCCTAGGGATTTCTGAATTAAATAGGCACCACTCTTTCTTTTTTGACGTTTGTTTACATTTCTTATTAGAATTTAATATAAAATTTCAAACACTTACATACGCACATACATAGGTACAAATTGTAAATTGGCCAGCAGCACTTCTGAGAGTTCTCTTAATTGAATCGACTACTAACACGGTTAGTGCATTTTAATCGCATATATTTTTTACGCAAGACTGACCGAAACCTCAGACCTGAAGGCGGAAAATGATTACGTGAATATGTAGTTATGCATGTATGTATTTAGAGACAGTCTGACAAAGCGCTAGTTCCGAACTACATATATCAGAACTATCCCTGAACAAGTGCAAAACAGGTACAGAGCGGGACAGTTGAAACTTGCGGTGTAAATTTGCAAATACTCACTACTCGTACAATACGAAAGTAGTTCAGCAAGAAGACCTCAGACTCAAGCATCGTTGGTCGCGAGTTTAAATCGCGGTTGAGGCAGTTGTGAGTTTTAAAATTTAATGAATCTAAATTGATGCGAGGAGCTTACAATATTTTTTTTTTTTAATAAAATATGTAACAAAAGTGGAATCTGTAACAGAAAGGAAAAAACGAGAAAAAAATATTCAAAAATCGAATCTTAAAAACGTTTTCTTATAAAAAAACTGTCCAAAACGGAATCGGTTAAAAACTAGTTGCAAAGTAATGCACTGGGCGACAATTGCCACCGCTAATGACATCGCCGTAAAACTGGACAGTTGAAAGCATTGCTTGGGTATTGAGCTAGAACTAGTACTGTCGGCAAAAGGTCTGGTTCTACGCTAGTTCTGAGCTAGTCAGATTTTCTGCAGGGTATGTACAGGGGGGCGTAGCGTGACGTGGTGTGGCGCGCCGGTCGCGCGGGGTACGCGCTAAGCAAATTTAATGTTTGAAAAAGCAATAATGTCAATGGATTTTATTTCTTTTTTGAAAAGGTAATAATGTCAACTGACTTCATTTCGCACCAGGGTGACCTTATTTCCGTTGATCTTATTACCTGTCACCAATTAAGTTATCTTTTTAGATACTACTATCTAACCACATATAAGTCTCATACTTAGTTTTATTCAATTACCCTCGATTTTACTCAAAAATTGACTGAAAAGATTACGCGTATTTTGTTTACAAAAGTGTGATTCTAATAAACGTAAGAAGATGCCCAGAGTGTATGTAAATCATCCTGATAACTTTTGTTATATTTACGGTTAACTAACTGTTAAAAGTCAATGACGTAGAAAAAACAGAAATAATGGAGGGAAATTTGTAGGGCCACAAATTAGAGACCTATTGGTTGATAAACAGTTTGAAGAAAAACTTAATCCGATCGAAAAATCTGCATGGACATGTTTTCGAAATATTGTTCGTAATTTTTTTGAAAACCACAAAGCCGAAAACTTTGAACAGTTGGTCACAATAAGCCTACAAGAATATGGAATGCAATATGTCGCTTAAGATAAACTTCTTACACTCACATTTAAATTTTTTCCTGAAAATGTGGGTGCCGTTAGCGACGAACACGGCGATGGGTTCATCAGGATATATCTATGGAGTCCACTGACTACTGTTGGACACTAAAAAGGGATGTATTCGATGCTAAATATTCCCGAAAATCCAAAATAAAATTTAAATATTATTTATTTTTCTTCATTAAATACAGTTTTCAAGCGTATTGCATTAAATTTTAATTAAATTCTGTTGCAACTTACTGAGGGTGACTGAACTATTTTAATAATGTGGATTAGTTACAGGTTAGTTGCAGATACAAAGAAGCCTTTCAATTTCATTTAACTTTTATTAAGGTAATTTTTGTGCATCAGTATAATATTATTGGAAGATCAACATATGCATGATATACCTGATACATCTGTTGAATCAGCGTCTACATCGAGTGAGCAGCTACCAATTGAGTCCACACTTCGATCCATATCAATTTTGTTTAATGCTGTAAGATAACGGAAAAATTATCAGTATCACTGAAAAGAGTGATTGCGATTTTTAATTGAAGTGATTTTTTATGGCTATTGCGTTCGCTAGTTCTTTTAATAACACAGAAATGTGTAATAGTTCTAATGGTGTATGTAGGGAAAAGAGGGAAAACTTTCATTTATTCGCCCAAAAAATGCCATATTCCACTTCGTTTTTTATTAATATTTGCAGTCATCTTTACTCGTTGATAGAAATTTTGAAATAAAAACTGAAAAAAACGCAATATGTATACATCATATTCACACGGAATAATTAAAAATTGTAAAATCACCATTTCTATCATCATAAAGAAAAATCACCATTCTCAAATTCTGTTGACTAGCAATTGCCACACTTTTTTTTTGTATAATAATGGTGTGTTCACCAAAACTGCTACACGTTGGGAAGCTTATAACTTACCCAAAAAGATTTCAATATTTTAAAATTCAAATACCATAAGTTGACCATGACCTTAGTTGCGACGTAGAAGAAATTTCATTTGAATTTGATTCCTAGTTGAGCTAAAAATGGCAACCGAGTTAGAAACGAGACAAACCATTTTGCACGAGTTTATAAATGATCCGGCCTTAAGTACACGTAAAATTGCTAAAAACTTAAGATTGCACTATTCCACAGTTTGCAGGGTTTTAATCGGTACAAATAAGGCCTGGCAGTTACGAGAAAACCAGGGAGCGGGGGTTAGCATAGTCAAAGGGATAAAAACAGTGCACGGAAGGTCCTCAGTGCGTTTTCGCGAGATCCGAAGGTTTTGTCGCGTTGTGTTGCAAAATCCGTACGGATATCGCAGTTTTTCGTACAAAATGTAAAGCGGAAAGCTTCATTGAGATGTTCTACAGCTCAAACAGCGCCAGACTGAGGCGCAAAGTAGAATATTACAACGAAATCCCGCAGTGGGAAGTTGTATGAATTCCAAAGTAAAAAATACAACTGCATTGTTATGGACTACGAAACCTACTGCTTTAAAAATTTAAAATATATTGCAGGTCAAGATTTGTATACTGCTGCAAGTCGTCAAGATGCCCCTGGAAGATGTAAGCTGAAAATGAAGTCCAAATTTCCAAAAAACAAACATGGTTTGGCAAGTTATGTGTTCCTGTGGCCGAAAGAGCAACCTTTTTTCCCATCCGGGACAATGAATGATTAAGTTTATCGGGATGAGTGCCTCAAAACGCGTCTTCTGTCAGTTATCAATTTATAAGGTAGTAGGCCACTGTTCTAGGCGGACATGGCCAGCTGCCACCACACACACATTGCCGTGGTATAATGCAAATAACATCAATTTTGTACCTCACGACTGAAATCCACCCAATAGCCCAGAGCTAGGTCCTATTGGGGAACGTTGGTCAACTGTCAAAGGAATCTTGAAGAAAACAGGGGAAACAGTAAAAAATATTGAAGAGTGCAACACAAAGTAGTTGTGCGCATCGCGTAAAGTCGATGATGCATTCGTGCAGAACATGATGGCGCGTGTGCGATGAAAATACCGATCACTTGCATATGGAGCAAATAGTAACTAATATTTTAAAATTTTAATAACATCGCTGCTGTGGTGTAGTGGTAAGCAGTGCGCGCTTTCACTCATCAGCACCTGGGTTCAAACCCAGGTCAAAGCAACATCGAAAAAAATATAGAAAAAGGTTTTTTCTTAACAGCGGTCGTCCCTTGGCAGACAATGGCAAACCTCCGAGTGTATTTCTGCCATGAAAAACAGCTTCTCATAAAAATACAATCGCCGTTCGGAGTCGGCGTAAAACTGTAGGTCCCTCCGCTTTGTGTGACAACATCAAGGCGCACACCACAAATCGGAGGAGAAGCTCGGCCAAACACTAACATATGTGTAAGCGCCAATCTATTATTATTATTATTATAACATATAAACTTCAAAGTTATATAATACAAAAAAAATAATTTCAAAGCCTACTAGTTTGTTTCTGGTAGTAATCTAAGTGTCGCAGTTTTGGTATGTTCACCCTTAATGTATTTATTTATTTATTGAATCTTTCTTTCGAAACTAACAATAATAGTCCAAGAGCTGACAACGGTTTTGGTTACACCATATATAACCAGGCTAGAACTTTCATGATGAGTCCGCTATGACGGCCCATTAAACTAGCTGAAAGTCTGGCGTCCCTCCAGGGGTGGCTTTGGCGCCACCAGGATTTTTAAGGATGCAAAAAAAACACATCAATTACACTATTTTAACCAGTCTGGTATTTTGGGATATCAGTGTTGGTACTTCTCCGAAACCGAAAAAAAATGGCCAGACTGGTAGGGCGGTGCAAAGTGGGTGCCAGACGCGGCTAAAGTGGCGATTAAAAGTGGACTATTTACACTATAATAACCAGGCTAAATTTTATAAATTATCATAGGTTGAATCCTCAGGAGGCTATATGTTTGAAGCCAGACGAAATTTTGGGTGCAAATGCCCTGCCAGATCCAAAAATCCGTTACTATGCAGACGTTCAAATCAACTTGTTTCTTACTAATTTTTAATATACTTTGTTGACGAAATGAAAAATTATAGGAAAAAATACTATAATAAAGTAGAATAATTTTATTATTTTCTCTGCAATAGATGCGACAAAAATAGTAATACATAAGTAATTTTTTTATTCGTTATCGTAGTCTGGCTCATCGTCCTCGGAATCTTCCAGCTCGTCTTCAGTTTCTTCTGTAAGAATAAACATGCATAATTAGAATCATGTCCTGAATAGAAATATCAGTACAACGATTGAAGAAATAAATACCTGAGATGTTTAATTCCTGGACTACATCACTGACCAACCGTGGAAGTTGATCTCCCTCGAACCAAAAGAAGTTGTATTTATTGTCATTTTTTGTCCATCCGCAGTATTCGGGAAGTAAAGATGTAGGACGTTCCAGATGTGCATTTGCCCAGATGGTGGCTATATAATGTGCTCTCAATAAATGTTGACGTAATTCGGATTTGCACGGAGGAAGATTTGTCGCATCGTACGCCCGGAATTTTTTCTTAAACGGCTCGTTGGTGTTTCTGACACTGAATGTATCATTAAATATTTGAAATCTAGCATCATTAACGCTGGATAGACCAGAGACGTTGTACAGTTCACACACAAACTTCTCCAGACTCGTTAACACCGAATTTTTTGACTGGCAAAAATCAGCATCTCTAAGACTAATGAATGCTTGCTGATACTCTGCTGATTTTTTCAGTAGCTTCGGCGGTTTTTGTTACCCTTTTCGGTAAAATGCTGGGTTGTAATCACACCCTGTAGTGGCATGTAACCCAGGTAAGCTCTTGGAGACAGATTGGCCTAATTGCTTATATAATTCAGATACATCGATATATCTCTGCTTGTTGCCAACGCCTGTTTCCATCCATATGTGCATTGAATTATTCTTCAGATGGTCCATATTGCCCAGCATAATTACCAAAATGTCCGTGTCTGAGGCTCTGATTACTACATTCGCTTCATAATCAGGGACACAAATATTGTGGATGATTTTGGTGTCTGCCTCTTCATGATTTTCGCATGACAGTGCCTCATCTATCCAAGTGATAATGCGCTCGTTGTCCAATTGGAATGAATGACAATTTTTAAAGTTCAAATTTATTAATTTATTGCCAATGAATGATGACATTTCATCTGTTGCCCAGTGCGTTATGAAGAATGTAACTAGAACCTCTTTAACCCTCTAGTAGGCCAATTTTTTTATGAGTTGAAAAATTCAGGAATGGTGATTTTAGCACGAGAAATCCAAAACTGATGTCCATTTCGATCTGTGACAGTAACTTTTTCCTACAGGGGAGAAAAACCAAGACCGTCTGGAGACGGGCTCGCCGATATACTTACACATATTTTCAGCTTTCTCTTACACAATGTTGTTTTATATGTCGGCAAGCCGGTCTGTAGACGGTCTGTGTTCGAAAGCAATTTTCTCCATTTCGAATGGTGACATAATTATAAAACTTATATTAAAATACGGTGCTTTTAACAATGAAATCCACCGAATTTTTTATATCAAAAAATTTTTCAAAAGAAAAAATTTCTTTAATTACGAAATTACTAAATAGCAAGAAATAATTAATTTTAACAGTGTTTTCAAAGTCTGTAATTCAACTGCCGATTAAAATAAAACGGATTGACATAACGGATTAAAATTTACTTCGCCGTAAGGGTATGATTTTTGTCTAAAGATCGTGCCTTACGAATATAGAAATAAATTATTATAGATGCACTAAAAAGATGCCTACTAGAGGGTTGAATTTATTATTCCTCAGTTCTTTGAAGAAATCAGCGGGCCGTGGCTGATCAGGTCCAGAAATCACATAGTCTACCTCCACTCCATGTCTCAGCGAACGTTCGTAATCCTTGATCGACGGTGAAACGTAACGATCAAAAATTACATCAATTCGTTTGGCATTAGATTTAGTTACCATCTGCACAAATTTCTTGGAAATATTACCAAATGTTCTAGGCACACCTTTCATCAAATGCAGTATGAAAAACCCATCGACTACTAGTATATCGATATTGGTTAGTGACTCACTGACGATTAAGTTTTCCAAGGCTTTGCTAAGTGAAGATTTATCTGTTTTACACAGTGTCCACACCAGAAGGTAAAATCACCTCCTTGAATTTTAATTCATTGTTTTTTTCGGATTTGTAGAACCTCACTGCATTTTTGTAGTGATTGTGCGGTAAATAGTAAACATTTTTCACATCCTCGACGATGACAAAAAACACAAGTAATTTCCGATAAAGACATTACTTGACAGAAAAGGACTCCAAGTAATAGAAACACAACACAACTCCAAAAGTTGCTAACAAACTGGCGTTCCTCTATTGAAACAAATTGCGTATTCTGAATAAAATCGCTGTATAACAAAATTATATGTTCTGAAAGATTTTGGAGCACTTTGAGCAACGAGAAACGCGTTTATTTGAACGCCTGCTATTTTTAAAATTCTTT